ATTATTATTTCCACAAAATCCAAAAACCCGTTTCCCTCTATAAATGCGCACACTCTCGACCTTTGGTGATGCCTTCCATGAATCGATAATTCATGGTAACAAACCGAGACAGTGTTTGTAACAGTTGCTAAGAGCAATAATAACGACAGTAGTGATAATAACGGACTCGGAGAGGGGAAAGAGGAAGAATGAGTCTTCTCCACCACCTGTGGGACGACACCGTCGCCGGGCCGCCACCGGACACCGGCCTCGGCAAGCTCCGGAAGTCATCCTCCTTCTCCCCTTCCTCACTCTCTGCTGCCGCCGCAGCAGCAGCAGCAGCTCCCGTCGCTCTTCAGGTCACTCGGAGCATCACCATCCTCCGGGGCAGCGCCTCCGCCGCACCGCCCTCACCGTCGTCTTCTGCCGCCTCGTCGCCTCGGGGCCCGTGGAGCGCCCTTGATTCCCCTCTTTCCCGTGAGTCTGCCGCCTAACCCTGTGGGGCAAGGAGAATTCCGAAAAAGATCGTCTTTTTATTACCTGTTTGTTTCCTCCTGCAGCTCCGACGCCGAGGGGAGACTGGAAGAGGCTCCGGAGGAAGCCGACGCCGGTGGCCGAGGGGGTGGAGACTGCCGAGCCGAGAAGCCCCACCGTCTATGACTGGTTCGGCCTGCTCATTAATCTCCCTCTTTTCTCTTCTTTTCTTCTCCATATTGATTAATTAATTAATTAAAATGGCACATTTTAATATAATATATATGTATATATATTTATTTTGTGCATCCAAACAATGATCTTCTTGCGTTAATTTGATATGCTAATTACTGCGTGTAGGGTGGCCATAAGTTCCCTGGATAGATGAGAGTGAGATGTAGAGAAAACTCTTTTCTGTTCTTCTCCATATCAACTAATTAAAAATCAGAGATGGCACATGATATATGTGTGTAAGCAGATGATGATGTTCTTGCATTAATTTGTCTTATTTGTTGTGTTATAAACTGCATGAAGGATGAGATGGAGGAAAGACCCCTCTTTTCTTTTCTTCTCAGTATCAACTAATTAACAACAAATAAATCCCTTTTTTCCTTCAAAGATGGCACCTGTAACATGGGTGAGTGTGTGTGTGTGTGTGCAACCAAAAGAATGATCTTCTTGGATTAATTTGGTTTTAATTGCTAAGTACTGCATGTGGGGTAGTGACAAGTTCTTTGGACAGTTGAGATGGAGGAAAAGATCTTTTCTTTCTTTGCCTTATCAAATGGGTCTTAATTGTTGTGTAAAATACTGCATGTAGGATGGTGACAACCTGTCTGGAATTTATTTTTTATTATTTTTTCTATATCATGTAATCAAGAATAAAAATACCTTTCTTCGTTCTTCATGATGGCTAAGCATATTGTGTATGCATCCAAATGATAATCTTCTTGCATTAATTTGGTTTTAATTGTTCTATTAATTACTGCATGTAGGGTGGTGATAAGTTCTCTGGACAGTTGAAACTCGTAGAGAAAAAAAAAAAAGAGGAAAAATGTTGAGCTGAAACAGCAAAATATGAAGAAGATGCAGTAAGTGAAGATTATATCTTTTGCTAGCATGTATGCAGATTTTTTGTAACTACAATAAAGTTGGAAGTGGATGTAGAAGAAGAGAGGAAGAGAGAAAAAGAGAGAGAAAGGGGGTGTATGAGAACTTGGAGGTGTGAAAAGAAACCCAAGCAGGGTGCAATCAGTTTGTAATGAATGGAGTCTTGGTATGTGGATGTGATGATGGATAATGCAGTGCATGTTATCAGAGCTGTTGTGCTTGAAATCACTGTTTGCTCCATGATTAGAATTCCTGTATCAAGATAGTCCAGTATAATTATTTTATGTAGCTTAGCAATATCAGCTGGTAGTGAGAGCTCCACAATCTTTAATTACTGAAAAGAAAAGTATTCTTCTTCTTATTTTTAGTGTCAGATGGTGTGTCTTGAGAGAGAATTGAGATCTTAAGCATTTACTAACTGTAGTTGGTCTAGATTTGGAGACCTCTTTTTAGTATCAAATTGAAGGATGGACTGGAGTCTCCAAAGAACAGAGAGCAGTAGTGCTATGTAGATGATGCCAGTGAGTGCTTAGAGGTGGATGTATAAGCCATATGGAGGTATATATTTTTGCTTGATACATTTGGCTTGAATAGAAATGCATAGTAAGCAAGATCTACCTTTCATATTATATATAATTGTTAACCCAAAATATACAAGGGAAAATAAAATTCAAAAGACTGCAGTTATCTGTAATCTGATCAATTCTCTGGAATAAGAAGCTGCTTTCAGATCTTGTTCTCAGCTTGAAATAAACACTATTTTTTTTCTCAAAAATAAAAACAAGAACTAATAACAGTAGCAAACAGATTAAACTGAACTCCCAGGTTCTTTTGTCACAATCTGCCAGCTCTAATTGTCTGCATACAAAGGTTGTACCATTTATGTTTGATTCACTGATCTCTCTAATATAGTTTGCCCACACTGATTGCTTGGCCAAGAAGCATGATAGGATCCCATTGCCAGCATGACCATGGATTGATCAAAAGGAGTATTAAATTCCTGTTTACACTTGGTCCAAAAAGGTCTGACTGCCAATGAAATTTTGTAATCATCCACTCCTTGGATGAACAATTGTCTAAGTCTACACTCATCTGGTCTATTCACAATATGAATTGGTGAGTTGAGACAATGCAAAGAGATCCTGTGTCGTTCAATTTGTGAGAAATATTCTATTGGAAAGATTGTTCCTTGTAAAGGGTAGTGTTTTAAGTGTAAGATTTACTTAGTTTTTAAAAAAGTCTTTAAAAGAAGAAAGTCTTAAGGGATTGTTAATCTTCACTCGTTAAAAATAAGATTAGTATCGAAAGTCGACCTCTATAGAAATCAAGATTGAACATATGTCAAGATGATTGAATCATTATAATTTGGTTTACATCTTTATTAATTATTAATTATTTGTGCTTCTTATTTTTATTTATGTATATATTTATGATTGTTATGATTATCTCTAATTATTCTCTTGATTAAAATTTTGAAGCTTTGACAAGCACTAATTCACTTTCTCTCAGTATTATTATATGCTTCTTTCCTCAGTTAACATTTCAAAGTTTATTAAATTTATAGAAGCTAATTCACTTTCCTTCTTAGTATCAGTAAAATGATAAAAATTGATATCACATTGATTATCTCATTTGAGAGTAATACGAGAAATAATAATATTTTTGAATAATCAAGAGGGTTATCTTTTCACAACCGTGTTCAATAAAAATGAATTACACATATTAAAAAATTAGAATGAAAATTTTTATATTTTTTGTGGATTATGATTTATGAAATATTATTGAATTTGATTTCCAAAAATCTTCGAAGATCTTAAATAAATAAAATGATATACAATAATATATTTTCAAAAAATATTAAAGTGATTTATTGTATTTTTATAGTCTTAACATGTGACATCGCACATCATATTTGGCATACAATCACTCACGAAGGTACAAATAAAATTTAAAAAAATTAGGATTGATCTTTCAATATGTAGCTATATTTTTTTTAAAATAAGTCAAACAAATCCATGGGTGGCATTGTACATGTTTTACCGATTTTGTCAATGGATTTAAAATGCTTGGCAAAAATTCTGCTAACATCAAATTGATGAATTAAATTTTAAGATCACTTTTTAAAATTTCAAACTCAAAGATAATGACCGTTCAAAATGTTAGATTTGAGTAATCTTCTTAGTAAAGAACTCATAGAATCATTAGTGGTCATCGAAGAACTTTGAGGATATTGCATTGAAGTACTTTGAGGATACTCAAAGTTTCAAGTGATGAAGAGATTGAAGAAATACATTAAGAAAAATAAACCAACAAGAAAGCTAAAACCACAAAAGGGTCAAGAAAACTTATGACATGTTATTGTATAAAGCCTTGATACTTCAAAAATTAGGATCATTAAATAAAGAAAAAGATATTTAAAATAACATGAGTTCAATCAAATAGATCAAGATGAAGTAACATGATAAATTATTCCTTTATAGCCGTCGACAATAAGGTAATTAATTTTACAAAATATTTTATCAAACTAGTATACAATGAGTTGAAAAAAATTAATGAAAAATATAAGTCGTTAAAATAGGACAGATTCGCCTTAGCTCTTCTTTCTCTCACTCGTCTCTCTTGTTCTCCCCATCCCCATGTGCTTATAGTCTGTACTTCTTCCTCTTCCTTCATATAAACTAATGTGTTTTTATAAAGACATGAATGTTAAGATAATATCGGAGTTCTTATGCTTTTTCTTAAACTTAGACAATAAAGGGTATCTATTCATAATTTTTGCTAGTAATGCAAGAGTTCTCATAAATTCTCTTAAACTCCATTTGTCATGGACTTCTCTTCTAGACTTAAATCGTTGTGGTATCACATTTAGAAAGTAGAATAAAAAAATATCATTCTACCTCAACATATGAGTCCTAACAAAATCATAAGTTCACATATCATATGAAGATAATCTACTCAATATCTTTTAAATTAATATAAATAATTAAGTAGATCATCATAGTCTTTGCTCACTGGTGACTTTATAGTAGGTTCAAGGAAAATTTTATAGGACAAATATCTTCCTCTATTGGAAAGACAGTTTTAATTTCCTTCCAAATCATTTAAACAAGAATCATATTCGATCTTTGACCCTCACCCTTGTCTTATTTAATATAAACCAAATTGAAAACCATATGAATCATGATTATTAGTTCTAACCAAATCAATTGTAATTCCTAATTTAGATTTGAGACATAGTTGGATCTTACACTTTAGGGCCTATAAGACTTTTTAAGTTGATTAAGTGGTGGCTAAAAATACCATGGAATAATGTTGCATGCATTTAAAATTATAAGTATTTGGGCCAAATGTTAGCAACCCATTCAGTTTTTTTTTTTTTGAAAAGAAATGAGTATATATTAAGAAATAAAATAATACCTTTAGTGAAAGTTCATATAAATGATGAAGGTATTTGAAAAAGAAAAGAGGGAGGACATTTTAATGATGATCATGTCTTCATGTTATTGATTAGATTATTATTGAGCATAAAAAATAATTGTTTGGATTTATTTTCAAAAAACTCATATTTAAATTATGTTATTTTAGAAAAATAGATGAATGTTGGCAAACCCTAGCTTGGTAGGGACACCTACTAGTCCAATCGAGTTCTTTGAGACCAATGGCTGAAATGGATCGTGACTAACTCTAATCATCAAGTCTAGCAATAAGCCAACATGGCTCAATGCCCATAGCTCGATGAAGCCCGGCATGGACTAACCCATTTCTCTAGCATCAACTTAGCAAGTAGCGAAGCTCAAATCAGGTCAATTTATGTTACTTGAAGTTAGTTTAGGTTGATTCTAGACTTGTTCATGCAGTTTAAGTTGGTATTGGGTTATTTCAGATTAGTTCAAATCTGTTTAAGTGGTGGTTAGATGATTGCTTTTATCTCAAAAAAAAAAAAATATATCTCCATTTTGATTGTAACACCCCATATTAGTTTCACATCGAAAGTGTGTAAGATTAAGATTAGCTTATAAGGGTCTGATGAGCATACTATTATTAACTTCAACTTAAACATTTTGATAAATTGTTTAGACCAAATGAAGTTGATAGACTAATTACCCAATCACGATAGTGACCCTCAAAAGATGACAATTTGGAAATTGACGAATAAAGACTCAAAAAAGATTTTTCTTGGCATTTTCTTTTCTTCTTCTTCTTATGGCGAACTGGTCGAAGCTCCCGTCTTGGATCTGATTCATGGCAAACTCTCTATGCCTGAGGAGCCGTCTGCAAACAATGGAACTTGGCCTTCGAGTTGAAGTATCGTTGTCCTCCGAAGCCGCAATCCCCGTGGCTCATGTTGCCCGGTAAAAGTAATACCACCGCCGAGTTCTTCTCCATTGCAGATAATAAGGTATATCAGATTCCATGCCCAAAACCAATGATCCGTCGTAGGATCTGTATCGGTTCTTCTCATGGTTGGTTGATCACGGTGGACGAGTCGTCCAACATGCACCTTATGAATCCACTCACCGGCGCCCAATTCCCTCTCCCTCCGGTGACAACCTTACCCTTCGTCGCAGCCGTTCGCGACTCCCAAGGACGAGTCACCGGCTTAATCTTGAACCGGGAGCGACGTGCAGATGGCACCGCGATCGACCGACGGCCACCACACACGTACAGTTTACCGGATGCGCATCGCATAATGTTCCACAAGGCCATACTCTCTGCGGCCCCGACGAAGGCAGCGGTTTCGTCGTCATGATGATCTGCAACATTTGGAGGGCTTCGGCCTTCGCTCGAGCTGAGGACAAGGCCTGGACATACATAGACACGCCTGATTCCTTCACAGAGACAAATTCTACACCATTAGTTATCTCGGCACGGTCGGGGCATGGGAACCCCATGGGCTTTCCTTCAAGCCTAAGGTTATCCCTGTCGACCTGGAAGAGTTACTCGAGTACACCATGTACTTGGTGGAGTCCCTGGACGGTAGCCTAATGCTGGTTTGCAGAGACCGGGAGCTCGTCGGTATGGGGCCTGAACTGATCAAGACCAGTATGTTCTTGAAGGAGCAGGAGCTCGAGTGGAAGAAGCTGAAGAGCTTGCATGAGCAGACACTATTCTTGGGGGGGGTAACCAACCATTCGATGTGCATGTCCACCATAGACTTCCCAGAGCTGGAATGGAATCGTATAGATGATGACTTCCGATGGTCGGAGCAGCTACGACATCAACGTCATGACATAGGAATATTCTACATGATGGGTAAGAAGACTCAACCAATAGAATATTCTACATGACGATTTGACTTTGAATGGCTTCCTTCGTTGGTCTCTCCCACCATTAAACTTCCAAGCAACTTCCTCTACTCGCTTAAGAATAGTGCCATTCTCTCTCTCTCTCTCTCTTTCTCTCTCGCACGAATCCAATTCTAGATGTTGCGTGCGCGGTTGGAATGGCAGCAGCGCCCTCACTCGGACTTGCCATTAGCAGACAAACATGGCTTCCGTCCACAAGTAAACCCTTCAGGTCTAAACCTACCGGTGGAAACGTGGGAAGGGATTGAGAAACCGTGTTCCTTGCAGAGACTGTGGCCCATGCACGAGAATTCCAAACCAAATCTTGTGATCCACCAAGAAGTCATAGTCTCGATCTTCAATGGGAACATATACAAAAGGAAAAGAAGAAAAGGTCATGCATATTTCAAGTGACCATTGATCAGATCATGAAGGCTTTTAGAATGCTGAAGACTTTGTAATCAAAGCTTAAATGAATCATGCACGCTGTTATTAAAATAATATTTTAGGTATAAGAAAATTTCTAGAACATGATGATTTCATCCCCTCAAACTTAGAAGAAGACACTGTATGGTATATCTGAATTATTTATCTTAAATTAAGCGTTTGAAATCTTCCTCCTCCTCATCATCACCACCATCAATAATGTATATGATATATGATATTCTATTTAGCATGTGCATCAAGACTTCAATTCAATCACCAATTGTTTTCAAAGCCAATCCTTGACCATTTCTATTATTTTGATTGAACCAGTAGATGTGACAGGATTGAAGGCGTGGAATTTGTGGTTTGTATACTGTTCCTGACCACCTTCATCTAAATCTGGAATTGCAGTTGCTGTGATCAGTTGTCAGCTAAAAAACATTGCTGAGGATGAGCAATATGAAGTAGCAGATCATGAAAACTTGTCATGATCATACGAATTACAAGAGAAGTTTGTTCCAGAAACAAGATCTTAAAATGAAGAGGCTACATCGATTTATTGTCTGATCCCCTTGTGTTGTTTGAAGACAGTGGAATCCCTCCCAAGCTATCTGCTACTCCCAGAACTGTGTTCTTGTTTCACCGCATGCCGACCCAATCCAAGCCAAGGTTGGCCGTCTTCCAGCTTGACCTCATCCGGTGGCGCCGCCGCCGACGAGCCACCATGGGCTTGATATGGTGCTTTGGTGCTAATCCTGAAGGCATCAACAAAGACAGTGTAAGCGTCCAACTGCAACAACGCACAACACATGTAACACAGGATAGAAACACTACTCACCGATCCTTCCTCTTCTCGAGGAATCGATGCAGGGAGTTTTTTCGAGCTATGGGCATATCTGTTTCCAACACGCAACTCATCAGCACTGTGTTTGTCACATGCATCAAGATCAAGACTTCATGTAGTGCTGAGAATTACCAGATGCACTGGCTTGGGTAGGCTTGGGCATGCCATTCTGTGTAGAGGACTCGGCTGCATTAGTGGAGGAAGGAACAGGGAGACCACGCTTTGGAGCTGCACTACTCTCTTTGCCGGCCATCTGCAGCAGATCTATGGCCTTGTCAGCCGGGAAATCGTCGAAAACCAGCACCTTTCCACCGTAGAAGATCGTCAATTGGGAGGACTTCTCTGTGTGCCTAAAGAAGTGATAGCAATTTAGAGTCAACATCTGTATCTGCACAAAGACGAGCTGTGGAGTTCTTCTGGGTCATACTTGATGCTTGAAGCAGATTCTTCCTTGAGGGGAAGGACAGAGGAACCAAATCCTGCGGCATGCTGGGGAAATAGCTCCATGGATTTGGGAGCAGTTTGGTGTGTTCCATCGTTGGTGTGGTCCTCAGTGGACACATCCACTCCCGGTAGCAGACTCAAAGTGGTGGGAGACTGGTACCTCTCTGAGCAGAAGAAAGAGCACAAGTCCATTCAAGAAAACATGCAAGCGAAGAAGAAGAAGAAGAAGAAGAATGAAAGCCTTATAAGATGGAAAGGAACGAAAGATCTGACCATGAGGTTGGTGGTGAAGAGGCCTTGGGGCCATGATGTCAAGGCCAATGCTCCCAAAGCTGCCCTTCTCCTTCAAGTACTGCCTCAAGAGGCCGTAGGTGATCGAGAACTGAGTCTTCTCCCCTCTCTTTCCCCTCATCTCTGCCATCTCCCTCTCTCTCTCTCTCTCTCTCTCCCCCTTCCAATCAGTATTGCTTGTGCGCTGGTCTTTACTCTTCCTTTTGCTGATATATCTTCTTCTCGATCAAGCTTTCCTTTGCCTCACCATGAACACTGATTCTTCTCCCTTCTTAAGAAGAAGTGGTGGAGGGAAGAGGAGAAGGATGAGAAGAAGAAGAGGCTTAAAAGAGAAGGGATATATATTACATATCTGTAGGCTTAAAAGGAACACGTTTTCTGCTTTATTGGACGAAGTCCACCGAAAGAAGACGACGACGCAATTGCCTGACACATATAATAACATGCGTTAGCTTTCAAACGTATGCCATGCCACAGAGGAGAGCATCAACGTTACACCTTGCAAGTTGCAAGAAGAGAGGAGAATGCAAGCGTTGGAAGAGGGTGGAGAGTTTGACCCACCACCAATCTTCTGAGGGAAGGTAAAGGAATTAGAGACTTTGTTTCACTAGCTATCAATATTGTTTCTACACCATATTCTAGTCAATGAGGTGGTCAACTAACTATTAGTGATGAACAATTTGCTAAGGCTTATTGATGGCATTGATAGTAGAGCATGATTGGATTATTGATTGTTTGGGGAACCTATCAAAGTTTTAGTTACAAGACTTATACATAATTAAAAGGTTCATAAAATAAGTATCAGCTAATAAAATTAAGTGAAGAGGAAAGTAAATCCTCATGATGTGGTCCTCCTCATCTTGGAATGAGATTGAATCCAAGGATGAGTTTTTGCAGTGATGTGACTTCCTTCACATAGTCAATGAGGTGTGCTTTGATTGGAGAAGTGACATCCCCACTCCACTGGGAAACAGTTGGAATTCTGCACATCTCAAATGTGAGTGAGTGTATTGAATAAAAGGCAGGAGAAGTATGACTGTTTCTAAGGTGGTCAGCTTTCACATGTTGAATGGGGTGTGCTTTGAGTGGAGAAATGCAATTCACACCACTACTCCTTTGGAAGTTTTAGGGTTTTTGCACACCAGCAAGTGAATGTGTGCCAACTTGATGGGTCAGCTCAAGACAGTGGAATGTGATGGGCACCTCAACTTGGAATCAAACTCGGTTGGAAGTCAAGACATGTGCATGGAACTGTGATGAGATAGTGATCGATTTGAGGATTAGTCCTCGTTCATAGGATTTGATCAATTCTTTACAGAAATCGTAGACTCCTGTAAAGACTAAGGTAGATCTTGTTGAGCTGAGGAGAGTCCCAACTAGATGGGTTCAAGGTCAATAATTCTTCCCATTTTTTTGCTTTGATTTTACGATGATGTATTGATCGGATTGCTTTCGATAACTTGGTAGATAACCTAATATTGTGTCGGTCGAGGGGAGCCTAGCTACGATAATGTCCCCGATGCCCCCGAGCTGACATGAACCGAATTATGATAATACTTATCGAGTTAAGTGAGTTATGACTCAATTATAGGCACCAAGGCAACCAAAACTATGCACACCAACTTTGCAAATTCATGAGACAGATTTCTACAACTAAGAGAGTACCACACAGTGATAGAAAGAGTAGTAGATGAGCATAGTAGAATAACAATCCATGAGGAAGATTTCTACTTACAGAGAGGCTGCTGCTGAGATAGCATCTTGAGTGTTCAAGCTTTTTAACTTTGAGATTTGTTCTAATGATTCATGACAGTAGATATTCATTGCCTCAAAAAAGCAGCATTGATGACCAACATCAGTGATCACCAAGACACTACTAGTCTTTGAACAAGAAAGAATAGACAGGTTTATACCATTGCATTACACATCAACAGCCAACATATTAACAAATTTAGCATGCCATCAATGGTGCCAAATTTTTTGTACAGAAAAGTCATATTGGCATCCACTTTTAATCAACTGATATGAATGTAAAAGGATGCTAAAGAGTTTCATAGATAACCCTGGATGACCATAATAGCACAACTGATGCATATAGACAGAAAAAGAAGCATACCACTTTGGCCCCAAATTGAACACTTCATATGACAGAATATTTATCAAGGCTATTAAAAAAGGGAATCAGGCCAGGATAATCATATAGATGAAAGAAAGAGAAAATTTCAATGGCTATCTGAAGCCCTAGTCATTTAGCAGTAGGAAGAATAGGGGCAAAGAGAAGTGCAGCACAGCAAGTTCACAGAACCATCATGCAAAGGACCTGAAGATTTCATCACCAACAATATGAACAAAAGAAACCTCTATTCATACAAGCCAAAGATGGGAGTGGACAGCTTGATACATACGCTTTAAGGAAGTTCTATCAGCAATGTAATGGCTAACAGTACCACCACCAATTTAATAAGAATGTCAAATGTCATAGTCGATGTCGGTGATGTTCTGTGACGCTGACTGCTTTACCAGATTCCCCTGTTCATCGTATAGGTCAAGGTTCTCACATGGTGAAGGGAAAATGAGCCCTATCACACGACCCTTGATAAATGAGCATTGGAAGATATGCTTCTTCTTATAGGTTAAACCCACAGACATATCCTGGAAGCTAACACCCTTCACAGGGATATCTTCACTGCCGTGGATCCGAACTGGAACACGAACACCCTGACCATGAATCCCACTGAAGGATATGTTAGCAATTATAGGCATGGCTTTTGGGTCGAAGCCTTCATCAGGATGCTCATTGTAGTCCGTCTTGATCATAATTCCAACGCGAACATTATCGAGAGTCACATTCCGATAGGTGATATTGCGAATATAGCCGCCTCTTCCTGGGGCTGTCTTTATTCTTATCCCTCGTCGTGACTCCCAAACAATAAGGTTGTCAACTGTGACATTTGAAACTCCTCCAGACATCTCACTGCCTATGGATACTCCAGCACTGTCATCAACGGATATAGTTACATGAAGAATATCAGAACAATTGAAAAGCCTGAAACAGTAGACAATTAAGTTGAGCTGAAAGAATCTATTGTCTTGGCATGCAGAACGATCAGATAATTTGAAAACTAAGTGTAAGAAAACCAAATGGAGCAAAGCTAATCTTTCACATAAGGAGAAGTCAAACCAAAAGATAGCAACCTCAAACTAGGTCTAGAAAACAAGATCGGTGCACTATTTCTTCCTTAAGCAACATCTGAGTTACAATGCTTCAAACAAGAATTATTGATCGAGTCTTGACAACCCAACTGAAGAATTTTCATTTTTTTTTTTCATTTTGTAAGCAAGTCTGCTGTACTTAAATCAGGGCCACTTAAATGGCTAATAGTACATCAGTAAATTTTCAAAGGCTGGAAATGGTAGAAGTGGTGCTCCCTTGAGTCATATTAATGTCAGGTCAACTATGTTGGTTGTCAGAAAGACTAACACCACGTTGCATGAATTTTTTTCAGGTCCCTAGGATTAATAAATTTACAACAGACAGACCTAGAAAAACAAGTTTCTTTGTAGCATAGTTTGCACGAAACCAGTAGATACAAGTATTTCAGAAATTTGCACATGCAGTGAACTTACTGCTTCCAAATTCACTCTCCAAACATGTACCGATTGAATAGGTTAAATATTCACTCCTCTCTGGAGTTAATGTCAAAATGATTGTTGTCTACTAGCTAACTTGGAAACTCCAGAAGTACCTGATGGGCCTTCGATGTTCACACAAAATTTGGAAGCTGTAGACGATTTCAAACCGTCTACAAGATCGCAAGTTGAGATTTCCAGCAAGGAGAAACTTCATTGATAAATGAACTATGATTATTACACCTAAAGACAATTAATTGACGGGAAGCTTGTGTTGAATTGGTCTAATACAATACAGTGCAACTTTTGGGAGATAGATGTACAATTTCATAAATTTGCAGAGATGCATATTTAACAACATGTTGATAGACAAGAAAAACTTACCTCACAACAGAACGAACAGTGAGATTACGAAGTGTTATGTTGGTAGATGGACGCCCATATGCTATTCCATACTGATCCCAGCCACTCTTTATGGCTACTGCATCATCGCCTACACATATATAAGAGTTCTCTATCAACACATCCTCACAAGAATCTGTAGAAACCATCCAAAAAAAATCAGGTGTGAGAATTTATTAATTACTAAAGGCATAACCAAAAAGAAATACTAAATCAGAGTCTGGAGCAACAGAAAAAAAATCCCTAATGTTTAATCCTTTTAAAGTTCAAAACATACCAAGTGATAACTGTGACCAAAGTAAGCCTATAAAATCATACCCACCTGGGTCAATACCATCTGTGTTTGGAGCTCCAAAAATGGGAGCCAAAATGGTGACTTTTGAAATTGTCACATTTTTGCAGTCAAAGGGATGAAGCGTCCAGAAAGGAGAGTCACGAAGTGTTATGTTGGAAATGACTATATCCTTGGACCACATGAGTTGAACAAGAGGACCTCTTGTATATGTGAGAATCCTTTTTTTGTATTTTGTCCACCAAGCCTGACCTTGACCATTGATCGTACCATTATGTCCTGTTTCATACATATAAAAACCTTTAGGCAAGCATAGACATCCATAACGCCAATCAACACTACTTCAACCTCAAAGACGTCAACAGATAACCTAAGTAATTCATTGGCAATGAATTGTCCATAAACAAAATTAGGCATCAATTATTATGATGTTTCAGGTTTCAAAGGGATCATTGTCACCAGAGTAGTATTTTAAAAAAGGCTGCAAAAAGCTAAAATGGAACTGACAAACATTTTCTCAAGCTCAATAAAGTAAAAATTCATCTTCCTAATGATACTGTGAAAGTCTTTTTATCTCATTTTCTCAAGCTCAGGATATTCAGCCAGTTACATCTGCCCATTTTTTATCATGACAAATGACTTTTGCTCGATAAAATGACTTGGCTTATTTCCCACAACAGTAATATCTGATTTTGTCTTTCTATATGAAGATGATTTACTTTATTATTTTAACTATGAAGTAGAAAATAGAAATGAAATATGAATTAAATAAGATAAAGAAGATAAATGTACTGACCAGTTATAACAATATCCTTCAGATTTTGGCCATGAATGAGACTTCCATATCGAGGTCCCTTGTGTTCTCGGCCATATCCATACGATGGCAAAGGAGGCATCAAGGGCCAGTAACTCTCATCCTGATTGAGAAACAATGAAAATTTGGACAGAAGTGAACAAACATGTTCCCAACTTAACTAAATATATAGTGTATAAGAGCTACTAATACAAAAAATCCTATTCTTACTGTCATTCAAAGAAGAAGGATTAAGGTCATTGGATATATTGCTAACATGCTATGAAACACAGAAGGCAGGCAGCCTGTTTGAGACCTATGATGTATTGATTACATTAGATAAACAATATTTAATGATGTAGCCATAAATTGACCAGTAATTCAACTCAATTTAAGATGAAATAACCAATATCAAGCTTTATGTTACTTTGAATTGTCATCCAGTGCAGATCATTCCTTATGAAAGAGCTATTTATAAGATCAAATAATCATCAGATGCTACAAGTGAAATATAAAATTAGTTTTTGCAATTGCAACATCAGTATAATCTTCTGAATAGCCACACTATGTAGTTACAGTGACAAATACCAAAAGAGAACATGCCATTCGCCATGAAAGCATATTGAGGCCTGCAGGAGATAAAACAGACGCCAAGGGATTTTAACTATCCAAAAGAACCTAATGACATGACATAATTTTGGCTTTCTCCAAACATTGTGCTTCTGTGCCATTCAACAAGGAAAACATGGTACTAAGAATTTCTGGGATTTACCTGGTTCTTCCAATGTTCTATCTCCAAAATAGCTGACAAAATAATCTCTAAGTTAGATTACATAAGCAAATCATTCAACACATTACGTCCAATCCAACTAGATAAAAACGTACAGACGATGATTTCACATAAAAGCTATGCACCTTAGCGAACAGGTGTGACAATCTCTAGCAAACATAACTCAAGAAAAATCATCATCCATGCATTATGTGTCCATGGAATTCCTTCCCCACTAGCAACAAAACTATGCTAATCACTAACGCACTTGGTGTAGAAAAAGGAAGCTACCAGCTAGAATATTAGCTCTTGCAAATGCAACCCAGAAAATATAGTAATTGTTGTAAGAAAGAAAGACAATCCACATAAAGAAAAAAAATCCATAGACTTTCTATACCAACACTTGTCACTAGCTTTTGCTTCCCTATTTGAGAGGATGAAAATAAAATTCTGTTGTAAGAAGAAAGAAAAAAAACCGTAAAGTTCGTCTCTCCACATCATATATAATAAAGTGCAATAGGCTCTAATCAAACACCTCATAGAATTATGGCACAATAAAAGAAGGTAACTACTCAGATATACTTTCATTAATTTATGTTCATCCGGACAGGATATCTGAAACATTCAGTGAAACTTACATCTCGATTGATTAGCTTCAAGGGATAGAAAAATAATGAAAAAAAATTCTACAATTCTCATCACAACTATTCTCCTTTTAGTGTCATGTCAGCAGGCGACGTTGTAAGATAACTTGCAGATGCTTTAGGATCTAGAAATATGTGTTTTTTAAGCACTTCAATGTTCGAACAACTGCTGAGTACTCACCCACTTGATCATGTTTGTTCTTCTCCTTATGACTGTGCAACTGGAAAGAAAGGGACAAATCTCACAAGCTAAAGAACCACTATTACTTCATGACACCAAGTGAAACGGGAAGAAAAAGGAGAAAAGCTGGAATTTGGATCACCTCGATTCCAAGAATCACTGCATCCTCGGCGAGGAAAAGAGTCATGTGGCTGGTGAGATTGAAGGGCGCTGTGAGCCAGAGCCCAGCCGGCACATTGAGCTGCCCGCCTCCTCTCGACCCAAGCTTCGAAATCGCCTCCACGGCGCGCTCAAACGCCGCGGTGTTCAACGTCTTCCCATCCCCGACCCCTCCGAAATCCGTCAAATTGAACGCCACGGGTCGCAGCCTCGGCAACGGGCGCGCCACCGCCACCCTCCGCCGGAAGAGCGTGATCCCGTCAATGGAGCTCACCTGCCATCCGAACACCAGACAGAACCCCACGACCCAGAGCGCCAGAACCAGCGTCCTGTGCATCGTAAGGAGCCCCATCAGCCATCTGGGGTGCTGATGGAACGTCGATCTCCACCCGGAGGAGGAGACCTCCACCATGATCTGGCGCAAAAGGAAGCCCTAGGAATCGATCGGATCTGCCACCTTTCCCCCAAGAACAGAGATGAAACCGGGATCAATCGGTGGACCTCCGGGAGAAGAACATGATCAGGGTGGAGAGAGGAGATGCGGAGGACAATGCGACTGGAAAAGGTGGGGTTTTGGCCAGGGAGGAAAGGGTTCCGGCAATTAAAGTGGAGCGCGGGACGTAAAGCGGAAGGGAAGACGGTAGGAGATCAGAATCCGAGAATCCCCTTCGTATCAACCGTACGATATTGATCCAACGGTTACAAGCTTCTCAGAAACTAAAGAATAACTCTTACTGTTAAAGTAGAGACATTGGAATTTTAATTTACTTTCTCTAAACAATTACAATGATGAATATTAAGAATGCTTTAGATATTTCAAATTATTAATATTTATTTAACTCAAAAAAGAGACTTCAAATCATGGTTGATTGATCTAATTTTTTAGACACTCAATATTGATAAAAATGGTATCTCCAAACTTTGTGGAAATAAATATTGATAAAAATGGAATATTTTTGTAACCCAACCACTTATATTTAATTGTTCGAATTTGCAGTGAAATCTTATAATACATAGATAATAGATTCAGTCACAAGGGAAAAAAATCTCTACCATCATAATCAAGAAGATTATTGAGTCATGTCTATTTTCTCTATGCTCTTTTGCTTTCTGTAATTTAGGAGCCTTCTATATGTATCCATTCATCCTCACAAAGCATTATATATGTGTGTGGTTGGTTTCAGAGTCTTGCTTGTTTTTGCAGCATTGTGTTGTGTGGGAGTTAGGCAGAACCCTAAAGATTTCATGTGGCTTTAGTTCTGCTTTATGAACATTGCAACTCATAGCACTTACCATCATGTGTTTAGGTTGGAGTAGGAAGTACTCCACAAGATAGGTATGTGGAAGCTTTCATTGAGGAAGTGAAAGGGCCACTTGAGCTGATGAAACATAAAGGTGGGTGGCTGGGGTGATTGAGGAAGGGATGTGATATCAGCAAATCATCCAGCCACTGCCTCCACATACAAACTCCATGTTTGCCAGGGAGCTCACTGCTTAGTGGCTTGATGGAGGACTAGCTGGTTTTTCTTTCTCAGTGGGGCTTTATTTGGTTCATGTATAGTCATTTTCTTTATCTTTCTTCTTCCTTTTTCAATTCCATTAGGAAAGCTTTACATCTTATATAATAAGTGATTTTGATCTTCATGTTCTTGTAGCCTTCCTCTCGAACTACATAAGCAAATTGCAAACTCATGCATGAAGTTGATGTCACTTTTATGTTAATGATGTGGATTGAGTATCTAACTCTTAGGTTATGTCAAGTTGGATCCTAATTTCAATTATTCGAATAGATTATGGTCTACTTTCTAATCATGAGTTAACAAAGATAACAATGATTCCGACAAATAGAAATTTATATAAAACTGTTCTTTTAATCTTCTATAGTTCCTATAGATTGTGTTATCTCTTTTAATTATGAATATAATAGCAGAAATATACTTGAATGTACTTGATTTAATTCTTCTGTATAGTTCAATGGTGGTAAAAGGAAAAATTGATGGAGCCAAACCCTAAATAACTAGGATGTTTGTTCTTACAGGCTTTGATGTTGAGCAATTTATACCAGAGATGTGATGCAACAACCACCTTCTCGGTATTTTGATTTAGACTAGTATTTGTTTTTGAGAAATAACTAAGAAGTTCAAATCTGCTAAAATCAGTGAAATGTTTTTGTTGATGTGCAACATCTCATTGTGGCACAGCCAACAGTCAGCAGAGCCAAAGAGTCCCCTCAGGTGGTAAATCTACCAAGAGAATCTTCATTGACAGAATGAATTGGGAAGAATTAGCATCACAGGATCACTGGATACAAATGTCTTTGCACAGGACAAAGAACAACATCAGAAACTTTATTTGTTTGGAAACAATACATAACAAGCTTTAGCAGAAACAATGTTCTTCTCTTCTAATATAAATTGTGTTTACAAGTACAACTGGGTTAACTGCATGGTACCTGGAGGATGTAGAGTTTGGCTCGTCCGATGATATCACTTGGCACCTTGTCTTCCTTGAATCACTGCTGCCGTTGCTGCAAGGAGAGAAGAAAGCTCTGCAATGCCATGGACCTACGCGATGAGCATTATTTCAGGAGCATGTTGAAGGAGTTGCCTCTAATGAGTTGCCTAAGACAAGCAGTAAGAATTAGTTTGGGAAACCGAGTGAAACCATTCTTCTTATTTGATATACATTACTGATGGAGAAATAACAACAATAGATTGCTCAAAAGGTTACTTGGTTTTCCAAATTGAGATTTATCCATGAAGTGTGCTAGAAATCCACTATTATAAAAGACTTGCGTAGAATTCGTTTGATACTAGCAAATTAGAGAAAATTCATCAAATCCTACATGCAAATTGAGATAGCAACCAATTAATGATAAAAGATCATTTGAAGAAAGACCCTCATATTTTAACAATAGTATCAGAGAATCACCAACTATAGCCACCAAACAGCAATGCAATTCAAAATTAATTATTTCACCTTGAAACTTTCTCCAATGGAGATCACACCATTTTCCCCTTGCAGACAATATGATCTTCTACAAGGATATTACTTAGCAACAGAAAAAGAATCTTCGTAGACTTCCCATACACAGATTTTCAATCAGATTTGAGCTGAACATATATTTTTATCCTTCAGTTCATGCATAACTTGAGGGCCATTTGGAAATGCATAATAAAGCTAAAACATGAGGATTCTATATATAAATTTTGCTGACTAAACACCTTCAAGAACTTGTTCTTACATTTCTTCTTATCTCATGTTCTCTATGGACACTAAATGGGACAACAATTATTAAAAAAATTGTTTTTGCCCCAAATTATAATCCAGAAATTAGTGTGACGAACAACTTTACAGCCCAAAGAACAACCAAGATTATGAGGAATCAATAGAGCATAGTTAGCAATATTCAGAAGTTTTATGTTCACCATCACCAGTATACAAACAACATACTATCTCGTAAAACAAGTATACATGCCTTTCGAAGTGAACATTTAAAAATCTTTCAGTAATTTTGAGGTAGTACATATGATGTAATTTCCACAAACTCTACAAAGGTGAACATGTACTTTTTTAAATGAGTTAGATATGCTTCTATTTGTAACTTTATGTGTGCAACTGTGATTGATGGACTTGTTCTGGGTAGATTAAAAGTGGCCAAACGTAAGAATATGTCCTTTATCAAATTATCTTTCATTATTGTGTCAATTTAGTAGGTACACTCTTCTCTTGTTTTTATCATGGTAATAGTGATGACAGTGATAGTGATAACAGAAAAGACAAAAATGGATAATATGAGGACTATCAATCTCTTTCAGAACTTCATTCACAAAAAAGCTGAAATTTACCAAGTCAAACTTGTAAACTAAAGCAGCATTTGCAGAAATCTTTGACCTACCTCAGCTTCAACCCTTCTACAAAGAGCAAGGCCAATGGCAGCAAACAGATTGTTCTAGCTAGCAATCACATTATTAAGCAAGCACCATGCCTATAACACCCTATAAAAACAACCTACGAAACCATAGTCCAAAGTGACAAGCCTCCCCTACCTAAACATAAAACAACAAAGCATCCTCCCTGTCCAACCACATACTTCCAAAAGCCCCACACCCTCACCTGGCCAAACTTTTGGAACTTAATGAAACATCCATGAACATGGAGCATGTGACATAGATGGAACCAGACATGACAATTTTGGATGTAACGTGAAGTTAAATATTACATGATGAAGGAATATGCCAAGAGTTCATTTTTTATATTTATGGCAAAGGAGAGTTTTGTTCATTTTCCCCTCTGCATGGTTGCAATGATTGGATTGAGAGCTTTTCACACAAGGAACAAAAAGGTAATAATAACTTTCTAAGAGCAGGATAGATGAGCATTAATTTCAAGAATAACATCTAATTAATGAAGGAAGCCAAGAATAGTATGTTCTTACCTTCAGATCAGAGAATGATGAGGCTTTCGCCCCATCTGTGTCATTAAGCCAGAGTAGAGAAGCAGCTCCCCGAGCGTGCAAGCGAACGGCGGGCGTCGGCCCCGCCGTCCCTTGCAGCCTCCTGTAGAGAGCTGCCAGGCGTGGAGCGCGTGGCCCTGGGGGAGTTGAGGCTGCGCCGGAGGAGCTGGCGCATGGCGGCGATGAGGTGCTCCGCGGTGTCGATGGGCGGCGCCGCGGAGCGGAAGCTTTCGGAGAAGCTGGTATGGCGGCTGAGCGCCTCCTCCGTGGAGATCCGGCGCTCGGAGCGACAAATCTCGTACTTGACAGCCTCGCCGCAGAGGCCGCAAACCCACCGTCCGCTGTACCGCTCCCGTACCTTTGCGACGTACGCCGGCGTGCACTCTTCCCTCAGTCCGCAGCACGCGCAGGTGGCCCACACCAGCTCCGGCTTCGCATCCCCCGCGGCGGCCGCCACCACCTCGCTGCTCCACACCTTCGCCGACATCGCCAAAGCCCAATATTGATCTTTCAGCGCGAATCGACTTCAAACCCTCTACTTGAGCAAGTCACACCGTTCTCCCAACGAACAGTAACAAGCTCGGGGAGTTGCGACGATTAATATCCTAGAAAGCTCGAAAGAGGAGCAAAGGACGCAACTTTGGGGTATCGGAGATCAAGTGCAGTCCAGGCATAGGGCTATCGCTCCTTCTCCCACGCGATGCAGGCATCTTGCAGTTCCTTCTCCGCCACGACCACGACCCTCGCCGCGCAAGCCAGAGACATTTCTGGACCGTAGCCCTTCGCCCTCGATGCGTTAGCCCTCCTCAGAATCAGTGGACTTGGGAATGGCGACGGCGAAGCTCCTCGGAATCCTTGGGCGCCCCAGCCTTTCCCTCACGTTACTCTCGCAGAGAGGACAACTTATAGGCCGTGTAAGATTTGGCGACTGCGGAAGTGGAACCCACAAGGTCCCACAACGGATCCACTTGGAGCGGTTCAAGATTGTCCACGTGTTCCTGCTGAGCTGGCGCTTATGCTAACTGTAGTCCGTAACTGTGGCGTGACGATCCCCCGTGCGAAGTGACACAGGCTTTGACCTTCGTACTTCTTTCAATTTTGCGATTTCTTGGGGTCCACGGTATCAGCGTAGCCTGGACTACCACGTGGTAGTGGCCGAGACACCAATCACGATTACGACGCTTCCCATTGGCGCACGGACGCAGACCCCTAAAGGCGTCAAATATAAACTCACGGGACCTGCGCCAGTGCCGTGGCGACACGTCATCCCTCAGCTGAAATGAGATGCCTTCATATTACTTAACAAGGATGATAATGTTGTTTTATTCCTTTGGACAATAGCCAAGTAGTTCTTTTGTATTAGAATTACATTATTTGGACGTCAATAACTCATAAAGAATTGAGATCGACCATTAAACTCCTTTCTTTTCGGAAACTTGTGGCATTATTGATTCTATTGTGGGATAAGCAATTAGGTTTTTCTTTCCTTCACGAAATAGTAAACTTAGTTGACTTTATCATGCAGTTTATCAAAGTTTTCCACGATCAGTTCTATGATTAATGCATCATATAAGCCAACTTTTATATTCATTTAAGTTGCAAGCACATATATCGAGAGAAATTATTATAAGAAAAATTGATAAGGCATCGCTAATGTGGCATCCCAAATGTTGATAGGGTACCCAACCCGAATGACTAATTTAGAGTACATACAAACCAAATTTAAAAGAAATAATTGATAGAATTGAAGCAAATCCTCCAACCATACATAATTTTTAATTAATCATCAAATTTTTAACAGAAATAATGGCAATTTTAGGATTAGCATCTTAGAATCTTTAGAAAGAATCTTACGAGTACAGATCCCCTATCAAACAAGCCTATAAAGCTCCAACTAGAACCTTAATTTTGTATTTGACTGCAATTCTTATTTGATTAAAATCCCAAAATGTGATAGAAAATTCATATGAACTCTTTGTGGTACTGCAACTCCCTAGAAATGAGAATGCAAATTATTTGGGTCCAAAAATTGTATTAACACATGAAAAGACTCATTTATTCTCTCACATCTTGACAAAAGGTACTTCTGGGGGAACAATGCTATTTAGGCTGAAACTTATTCCGATCAAAAAATGGCCCAATTCCATCATGTAATTCAAAAAACATATATAGCATGTAGATTTTGTGAAGGAGTCACTAGTCATTGTGTGAGGGATGTTTATCATGACTACATCAGACATAAATATTATCGTTCTTGAGATCATAGTAAGCAAAGAATTTGCAGACAAAACAAGTCGCTTATCATCTAATCAGGTTAGTCACAGTTATATCTTACCGTGGCTGAGGACATCATCAAAAAGAGAGTAATAGCATGGTGAATGGCACTCGGAGGCAATTTAAGAATTGGTCTTCTCTTCGTCCACATCATTTTACTCCTGCGTGCAACCAACTGAGCATTAGACTATGTCAAAACAATCTTAACAATGTAATATGAGTACCGTGGCAAATATTTAATAAGCAAAGTCTAAACATAAAATAAGATCTAGATCTCCAGGTGAAGGGTCGATCAACAAGTTATCAGATAGCATAAGAAATAAATGGATGTGGAGTGAAGATTTATATACTTAAAACACTCACTATAGTTAGGCAAATATTTAATAAGCAGAAGTCTAACATGAAGTAAAATCTAGATCTCCAGGTAAAGGGTCAAAAAAGAAATCAGATAAGAAGATAAAGAAATAAATGGATGTGGAGTGAAGATTTATATACTAAAAACACTCACTGTAGTTAGCAGCACTATAAAATTTATGAGAGCTTACTATTAAAAAATATGGATGGGATAGAGCTAAGAAAATCTTATCACGGTCCAAAAACTACAATCATTGCCATGGAAAATTGAACATAGTGCATGGATATCTAAATCTATAATTCCTCCTGCTGTCCTGCGAGCCCTGAACACATTCTCACCTGTAAAGGCAAATATCTAAACCAAGCATCACATAACAGTTTTGATGAACTGAAAATACTACAAACCTCATCAATCTCTGCTGACTAATCAAGATGAAGGCTGCACAAAATGTCCCTTTTTTCATGTTGCAAATGTGTATGGACTAAATGCCTGCACAGCATGCACCCTACAGGCAAAAATAACAGATAGCCAAAGCAAAGTCCATCAAATCAAACTTCAAAGCACATGCTGGTGGTTAGCTCTAACCAGTATCTGATAACTTGAAATGTTCTTGCACTACTTATCATTGTACCATAGATGTCTCTAATCCTCAAACACTAATTTTCTGCTCTCACTTCGATTTTGAAAGTCTTAGGAACTTTTCTTAGCAAATCAAGTGGAGACATTCATTTGTTGGATCAAATAATGAAAGCCATATTGGCTATCCGTTTAGAAAATTGAGAAGCTTCCCACCATACCTACTGATGTTTTCACAGTAAACAAATGGCATCCCAGCAAAACTTTCCAAAATGTACTGATAAACTGGTTTAGGACAATGTCAAAGCCTACCTAGCAAAATTATAAGACAAGAATCAGCTTATGAAGTCAGCATTAGAAGTAGAATCATTACTGGTTATTTTCATTTCAAATGTCCAAACTTTCTGATCAGCAAAGCTAATTTTAATTCTAGACAATAGGAACATTCTATAAATATACCTAAACATGTGTTGTTACTGTAGCTTTAAGTAAAATAATAGCTATGCTTAATTGTTGCATAAAACAACTGCACTGAGAGAAATTTTTTCATAAGAAGAGCATAATAACTTCGATACAAAGATTAATACATGCTTGAAATTTGAAAACAACTCATGACACAACCATATATATTACCCTTGATGCAATATGACTGGACAGAAACAAAATAAAGAAGACTTGTTACGCTTCAAGATGCAAGTTCCTATGCATTTCGGATGGCATCAAACAATTCCATATCTGTAATACTCTTCTTTGTTTTCACAACTACGGCACAGATTCTAAGATAAACAGGACCAAAGAATATTACTAAAATACTCAAAAAGTTGACCATGGTGTGAAACTTAATATAAACTTACAATGAACTAATATAATTATAAAACTAGGAAAATGAAAAACAAAATAGAATAATCAGAAAAAGAAATTGTGAGAAGTGTATGTTCCAATTCTAGTGGCTGCTGATTTTGGCATAATGAGGTGGAAGGCTGCAGAGCATAGTTCAAGAACAATTTCAGAGGCCTGCTTCAAGCAAGAAAAGTGTGCGTATACACACGTGTGACGGAGATGGAAAATAAACAGACTACCAATTAATGAAACTGTCATAATACACTGATCTGCAGAATTTGGCATATTGGAATCCCGCATTAAAAGATGATTTTCCATAAAAAGAATATGATAAGTAAGACAGTTTAAAAATGGCCAATTAACAAGATAACAGAGAGAAGTTGAACCTTGGTCTCATAGTAAAACTGTATTTTTAATAATTTAGGTGGCCAGGATTCTACACATGGAAATTATATTATCATTCACAATGTACAAGATTGCACACATTGACCCTCACTACATCCTGCATCAGTGGGAGTTGTGTGCACCGCACCATCCTTTTTCCAATCCATACTTAGAAGATAATTAATGAGTTTCCAAGAGCAAGGACCATCAGAAAACCAAAAGATACTGCTAAGCATCTTGAGAATCCAGCACACAATTAATCCCTACAACCTCCTCATATAAGCTAAATACAAAGTATCAACAAACATAATCAGCAAAAAATCTTCCAACATATATATGGTAATCATAAAAAGAAATAGCGTACAAAGTAGTTTGTAAATGATGATTGTAAAAAAGTAGACCACTTACAGTAGTTAAATGCAGTAAAGAAAGTACCAACATGGATGCTACACTATAGCTAATCAGGAGAGATTTATCATGACAACCAATAAGGTATTCATGTTTTGGTTGACTTAGCAGTGTGTACAGCAAAATTTATGTTGCTTAAAGTAAAACAATCTACTGTGCTTCTGTAAGTAAGAAGTTTTCAGATTCATATCTGCCCAGGCCGGAAAACAGAGAGCAACAGCAAAAGTTTGATCGCAAAGTTTTTACACATTAAATTATCAGAATCAGTGGAAATCTACTCTGTTGTTCCAAAGATGTTTCACAAGCAGCTTGCACTTGACTAATGATTGCAAGCATCTAAAATGACCACCAATTCCAGGGCTTGTGGTAGTATGAAGGAATGTATCCAAAATTTTCCTGTTGCTAACCTTTTACACATTCCACCTGAATAGTCAAATCCCTAATCCCAGCTTCATGCAGAAGTTTTGAAGAACTATTTGCAGCAGAAATCTTATCAGTTTCTGCCAAAACATGAAGATGCATTGTTCCAATAACGTCCGTGTTTGTGAAGTTCCATACATGCATGTTTTGAATGCCCTGGACACCCTTAATCCTCACAATTTTATCCACGGCTAACCTGAAATCATGTTCACGAGCTCTAGGAACTCTTTGTAGCAAAATTTCAGCAGAGTTCCGCAACAATGGAAGCACAGAAGAAACTATCATAACTGAAATAAATATAGAGCATGCTGGGTCTGCCACAGTCCATCCTTTGTACTTTATTAGTAGGGTTGAGATCACAACCCCAACACTCCCCATTGTGTCTGCCAGAACATGTAAGAAAATGCCTTCCATATTGTGATCAATGTGCTGATGCTTGTGTGAATCACTAAGTGACTTTTCCTTATCAGATGATTCCCCTGACTGTAAATAGTAGTTATGAATGTTTGCTGAGGAGTGAGACAAGCTCGGAAGCTCTTTGCTACTATGGCTTTCCTTATCGCCATGACTGTGACCTTCAGTATGAGAACTTCTGTCAAATACATCAGCTCTTTGATGTCCATGTCCCAGTGTCCTATGATCTTGATCAGTATGAACTTGGTGTTCATGTTCATGACCATGAATGTGGTCATCATGTCCATGACCATGGCTGTGGTGGTCATCATGTCTATGACCATGACTGTGGTGGTCATCATGTCCATGACCATGACACTTAAATGACTCATTCTTGCTAAGTTCATTTTGGTGATGATGGCCATCATGGTTACAAACATGATGATCATGGCCACTGTGAGAATGTCCTCCGGTGGATTCATGAGAAACCACAACAGCATGTTGAACATCAGAATCATGGCCAACGCTCTCATTTACATGTTTATGCCCATGGTGGTCATGGTGATGGTGGTGGTGATGATGATGATCATGTGAATGGGCATGTGAGTGGGAATGCGAACAAGTACCACTTCCACCATGTGCATGATGATGCTCCTCGTGGAAAAAGATCAAGCCCACCACATTCACAAGAAGACCCCCAATCGAAACAACTAATAAGCTACTTGTCGAGATCTCTTGCGGCTCAAGAATCCTCTCCAATGACTCAAGTACAATCAGTGCACCAACAAGAACCAGGAACACAGCATTCACGTATCCAGAAAGCACCTCAAACCTACCACGGCCATAGTTGAACTGACTGTTGGCAGGCAGCCTAGAGATGTAAGAAGCATACAACCCGATTGCCAATGCAGCACAATCAAACAGCATATGACAAGCATCAGATATCAAACCAAGGCTGTTGCTCATGAAACCCGCCACAAACTCCACCACCATGTAGCCGGTGTTAATCAGAAGGAAAAGAGCAATCTTGCGGGACTTCCTCTCGCTCAAAATGTGGCGAATGGGTTTCGTGATCATAGAAGACAAGGACTCTGAATGATCAGAACTACCGAGTTCGACATAACTCAGGGAGGACGAGCCCAATTCCCTAACTCCAATCCACAACAAGATGCCACAGAACAGAAACCCAGGAAGGGAGAGCCTGGGGAAGTAAAAGAGCTCCAAAACAAGCGTGCAGAAGAAGGTCAACAAGAAATCCCGACGGAAGTCCTTTGCGCTGAAAAGTAGCTTGTCATCACCATAATTTTCACCCAGAACGACGCCAAAGACGACCGTATTGATCAGCGGCCAGCCAAGCGCACCAATCGATTCGGCACTGCCATCACCGCTGTCCACAAAGAGAAAACTGATGCATGCCGGAACGAACAGCATGGCAGTGGTGAATCCGAGGGAGAGCAGACGCACCCGTCTGCGGCCCAGCTGCTTCAATGAGCCCCAATTCGAGGAGGCCCGCTCGTAAAACCCTAGAAACCCCGAGAGGAGTGGGAGCAGCATGGGGGCGATCCTGGCGCAGCCCTCGATCGGCGGAGGGGATGAGGAGATCGGGAAGCACCCGATCCGGTCCCAGCTGTACGACAGGAGGGCGACAGCCGTGGCGAGGGCGGCGAGGCCGAAGATCCTCCGGCGGGAGGCGGGAGCGCGAGGGCGGTGATCGGAGAGGGACTTGGCGAGGAGGGCGCCGGCGAAGTCAGCGAGGATGGCGGCTCCGGCGGGGCAGTAGCGGAGGGAGTGGAAGCGGAGAAGGAGGGTGAGCGTGAGGAGGGCGGACTTGGCGGCGAGGGAGCGGAGGGGGAAGGGAGAGGAGGGGAGGCGTAGAAGGGATTTGAGGGATTCAGGGAAAGGGGGAACGAGGAGAGAGAGGGCGAAGGAGAGGAGGGAGACGAGGAAGGAGAAGGGGAAGAGGGAGGTGGAGGCGGGGGAGGAGCGGACGAAGGGGAGGAGAGAGTAGAGGGAGCGGAGGGAGAGGAGGATGAGGAGGGAGGTGGCGGCGGCGGAGGAGGAAGAGGAATAGGAGTGGTATTGGGGGCGGCGACGCTTGGACGGGGTGGAGGCAGAGGAGGGGGTGGAGGGAAAGGGCGAGGAGGATGATGGAGGGTAGACGCGAGCGGGGATGGGGATCGGCGAGGGGGCGGAAAGGCGGTGGTGGTGATAGCCGGTCATGGCAGCAGGCGGACCGAGACGAGCTTAGAGATCTAGCGATGGGCGGAGTTGTGCAATTAACTACAGCAATGAGAGATGCACACTTATATCTTATTATTATCATTATTCATGTATTTTATGCCTATTTCCTTTTTTATGTTCTTTATCATATCGAACATGACATTTTTTTATTTTTTATTCCGAGACAGATTAATATATTTAAAGGATATATATTATCTAAATGTTTTTATAATTACTATATATATATATATATAATTTGAAGGTACAAAATATGCTATTTCTAAAAATGTAAAGGAACAAATGTAAAAATCTGGACACTGAGAAGGGTCAATTGCGGTCAACGATGACTGCTAATGCGACAATAGCACTCCAAATTTGTGTCAGATGAATGATGCCTCAGAGTCAACACATGTCAACCTCACAGATTTGATGCAAGTCATGCCTTCATCTTTTCATAGTATGAAAAAAATAATCTGGATTTTCATCTTTTTCTGACAGATGAATCTGACACCAAAATAATCTGAATGACGGCATTTTCATCTTTTCATCGTGTGAACAAAAAAAAAAAAAGCAATCATTTTCCCACATTTCTTTTTTTATTCTCATAAAATATATTTTATTTTATAAAAATAAAATTATTCCTCACGACATCTCCATCCAGACCCTCTTCGTGCGAGGCCCTAGCCCTACCCATTTAAAGTATACATCGACTATTCCTTTTATCGTTACTCATCTCAGCTTGTTTTCGCCCTTTTGGAAGACCCTCGTTATAAACATTCTTATTTTATGATTATCGTTCTCCTCAGTTTTTGTTATAAAGCCACCTTGACTTGAGATGGAAGGCAATGAAAGGTCATCAATGTTCGTGATAACTATGTTGATAGTTTTGTTAGAATAGGAAAGGAAGAGATTGTGGACGATGAGGAATGAAAAAGAATTTTTAAAAATAATTGAGAAGAAATGGGAAGAGGGAGGGTGAGCTCGTAGTTGCCTTTGGAGGAGGGTGCGAGGGCGTCATGATCTCATGATGATAATGAGGTTGCTTAAGGATTTTAGTAGACTCGACGAGGATGCGATTGAGGTGACAATCATAAGATGCAGTTGTTGCAGAGCAAAGATGATCATGATGAGATGAAAGCAACGAACACCAAGATGAAGGCGATTATGGTAAGGTGAAGGTCAGAGAAAAATGATAAAGATGACTACGAAACAGTGTAACATGAGAATAAAACAAAAAGAACACTATGAAAAAATAATGAAAACTTTGAATTATTTTTATAGAATTTGCCGAAGAAACATCACAAATATTATAAATATATTAATATTATTGATTGGCGATGATTGCAAGAAAATTCTAACACAAGACAATAATAATACCCCCTTGATAAAATATAATTCAAAACAATTCATTTATTTCGAAACTATTCATCCTTTTTTAAATAATTTAAAATGGATAGAAGTAGAAGAGTTGGGTAGATTATGAATACGAGTTGTTTTATCCAAATAGATGAGGATGAGAAGATGAAAAAAATAGAAGAAAGATTACTAGATCTAGAAGATGAAAAGAAAAAAGAGAGAGAAGATGATAGACATTCGAATAAGTGTTTCTAATCTAACTTCCTATCTTCAAAAATAAAAATTATTAGTTTTGGACTACTAAAATGAGAGCTATATTTATTTTATAATGATTATAAAATTTGATAGAAAATAATTTTTATTGAGTATGATATATAGGTTCCCAATATCACTAATGATCAAAATGAGAACACGTAGAAAGATAAAGAGCCCTTTACATGCTACAACAAATAATAAATGAGTCCCTATTTTCTCTTAATATTAACATCAATATAAATTTAGAAAATATTAAACAGTGTGTTGGGAGGTACAGTGAAGGTAAAAACTTTAAGACTTCATATTCCTCATCGTGAATTCAAAACTCCTATGATGAAAAATTTTGAATCTATTTTTTTTTAAGAGTCTCTTCTGTTATGAACCAAACGAGGACTTATGATAAAAATCTAAAAAAATCAAATAATAATAATAATAAATTTATAAAGTTTATCTCTAAAATTTGATATAATTTTTATTGTTATAAAAATTTAAAGATAGAAGGACAATTATCTCACTTTTAGTTCGTGAATAAAAGTGGTGGACCAAATATATCGAAGTTTCATATCATTTCATTCATAAACTGGTGGACTGAGTAGAAATTCAAATGGACTACTAGATCAGCTCATCGATATCTTTTCAAAAGTTTTAGCGAAGAAAAAATTATTTTTTCGTAAGTTAACTTCATGTTACAACTCTCTCGAGGATGTGATAAAATATAATTCAAAACAACTCATCTATTTTAGAAAATTTTGAGCAAATGATATACATAGGTTGTTTTTATCCAAATAGATGGGCATTAATTTTATAAATGAATGAGGATGAGGAGATTTGATGAGTTAGGTTGTTAGGCCATAGTAATTTTTTATTTAAGAAACTTATATATATATTTTTTACTACTAAAAACAAGTGTTCTTGGATGAATTCAAGATCCTATCAGATTGAATGTACTCCTCATTTCTACTATCTTCTCTCCTTTCTCCTTTAAATTCTACACGCAGCCAACAACCCTTACACCAAATGTACAAAGAAAAGGTGTCAGATCCAAAATGCTCAACCTGCATGCATCACAAATTCACAAAGATCAGATCCTTTTAACTGAGGAGCTAATACTCTTCTGGGTCAGCTTTCGGAAGCATTCTGATCAATGACTGTAGTATCTACACAAGTATGCAAACATGAGAAAGCTAATGGAGCTCAACAATGCCAAGATCCAGTAGTACTTGTCCAGCCTTGCCTCCCTCGCATCATCAGAGAACCAGCCATGGCTCTTCCCCCTTGTGTTGCTCGTCAGCTCCAGGACTGATATTAGCAGAGCACTGAGGAAGCTGCCCACGCCGAAGACGCTGAGGTACAGACCTATTCCGATGGTTCGCATGGTGGTAGGCACCTGCATGTAGAAGAACTCCTGCATGCCGACCACCGTAAACACATCGGAGATCCCCAGGAGAACGTACTGAGGCAGCAGCCAGAAGATGGTCAGGCGCTGTGAGTCCACTCGCAGTGATTCGTGTGTTCTTCTCTTGGATTCGACCACTGCCGCCACAACCATGGCGACGATGGAGACGCACATCCCGATCCCGATCCTTTGGAGCACGTCGATCCCCTTCTCCCGCCGAGTAAGGAGGCGCAGGAAGGGGATGATGAGCTTGTCGTACAGCGGCATGATCAGTATGATGGAGATGGTAATGGCGCTCTGGAGCATGGCGGGAGGGATCACGAAGCTGCTCCCGATGCTGCGTCGCATCATCATGCCCTGCTTGGTGAAGAAGGTCACCGGCTGTTGGAAGATGACTGCGAACATAAGCAGCATCGTCCATATGGGGAGGAGCCTCAGTATAGTCTTGGCCACGCCGGGTGCTTCGCCAGCCATGTCGTCGCAGCGATCCGAGTCTTCTCTGAGAGGCTTCTCCTGCAGCCTGCAGTCGGAGACAAGCAAACGAGTCATTCGTTGAAAGGCCGCCGACGCAGCAGTCATGGCGCAGTTGACTCTTGCAGCTTACTCGAGCTCCACAGCATCGTCTCCGGGAGGCAGGCTGAGGGTTTTGGATTTGGCCCCTCTCGTCACGGCGAGCTTCACCGCTTGGATGATGCTTTGGATGGGGCTGTTGGGGATCTTGAGCTGCTTGTTGACGTAGAAGCGAGAGCCGCAGAGGAAGCAAGCCACGGAGATGGCCATGGCGGCAGTGGGGATGGCGAAGCCCAGTCCCCAGCCGAAGGTGTCCTGGATGTAGGACATGACGGAGTTCCCCAGCAGGCTGCCGCTGCAGATGCCGAAGTACCACCACTGGAAGAACAAGCTCTTCTTGTCGCTCTTCCCTTCCTCCTCGCTGCATGGCAGATGGTCGTCGTCTACCTCCAGCTGATCTGCTCCGAATGCCTGCAACGACGGGTTGTATCCTCCTTGTCCTATGGAGATCAAGTAGAGGGGAAGGAACAAGGAAGAGGTCGGCATCCATGCACATAGCAGCGCCCATGAGGTCAATCCCACTAGTCCCTACGACGTAGGAGGAGATCAGCATCATCAAGAACAAAAATCCACAAGCATAATGATGATGATGATGGACTTACGATGACGTAGAGCAAGGAAGAGGCCATGATGGTGGAGTAGCGATCCCAGTAGGAATCAGCGAGGATGGCGCTCACGAGAGGGAGCATCGAAGTGACTCCAATCCAAGTGCTGACGCTCTTGGCAGCTGAGGAGGTGCTCATCTTCACATGGCCAGTGAGGTAGCTCAGCAGGTTGGAGGCCACACCTTTGTACGCAAACCTCTCCACACTCGCCACCACTGCATCCATTTCATATCTGCATCAGAAGTCATGGTTCCCACACAACATCAATGCTAGCTCGAAGAGACGATGCTACCTATGATGAGAATACATGACTTGCTGAGGCCTCTTGAGTTCTTCTCCAAAGCCATGCTTTCCACCTTGTACTTGTATTATGAGGGTAGAGATTCAGATAAGTTGTGCTTATAAAGACAATGGCATGACTTGTGATGTTGCTGAATCGTGTCACTGAGCCACTTTCCTGTTTCGAGATGCATCTCCATCGGAGATTGCCCACCACAGCATTGTTTAGGGCAATGATATGCGCATCTTTGTCTACCCGAAAAGGATTTGGGCCAAGAGGTTTGGAATCAAGAACAGGGAATCCTCCCAGAAGATGTTGGCACGATGGATGGACTTATCCACAGACCTTTTCCTGTGCTGTATACTCGGCCTCATCAGCAATCCACTAGAGCAAAGCAGGGTTATCTTCATCTCCAATGGCAAACACTTGGATTTGCGTCCTTCATGTGGATGAAAGAGATTCCTTTTTATCATTTTTATATTATTAACTCGATTGGTATTAGAAGAAGGACTTGAACAATGGAACGGTGTTCGACCTAACAATTCTTTTGTTTGCTGCTTAAAGCATCATTGCTTTTGATATTCTTTTTTTACTGTTCCTCAATCATCCTGAAAGCATAAGCAACACAACACTCGAGTAGTTCTTGTGCGCCAAGGATACAATGTTCGACATTGTTATGGACAAGAAGGACCACTAGAGCAATCACTTCGATCGATCGATCTCACACAATCATCTTTTCACTGTTCTCTTTACTGAAAGATGGGATGGAGAGAAACGAAAAGCAACTCGTGCCTGTACCAAAACTGCTCATTTTGCTGAGATCATGCAGGTACAAGAGTGGAACCAGTGACACCATTTCCTAATGGACGACTGGCCACTCAAAGGGCCAATCCAGTGATCGATTCGCTAAGGACGACTACAAAGTGGATCATGTCGACACAATTGCTACTTGCAGTTGGTTTGGCAAAAGAGACAAGCTGCTGCCTTCATCTCCATTCTCAATGTGATGCACTAAGATGTTCAAAGTGATGCACCACTTCGACAGCACTATGCTCATGGGGTAGTCAAAATCTTCTAGGTTTACATTCCATGATAGTTTGTCTCATGATGTATCAAATGGGCAATCACATGAGGCTTTTGCATCAACATGAGTGTCAAATCAATTCCACCAACACAGAGCAATACTTTATTTTGCTGTTGTGAACCATGCAATTATCTACCATCTGAGCAGTGCCTGTCATCTGCAACAAACAGACTATAATGGGGAAAAGAAGAATATATATATATATATATTCATCCGCGATACCGTATCGTACCGGTATTTCGATCTGGGCTCGGTACCGATACGATACGATATACCGAGCGGTACACCCAAGTGTACCGAGCGGTACACTCACGTGTGCCGAGTACTGTAATACTATTACAGTGTTACAGTGCACTCAGATCGGTAATAGACGATCTGCGTACCGACAACCTGTCGGACCGGTACGTACCGCCCATATGAACTAACTAGAGTTAGATTTTTCCTACCTGAAGAATACATAGATACAATAACAAGGAGCTGAAAGTGGCATCAAATTCAGCTGCATTCACAAAATACAAATAGAGACACAAACAAAATTACATTCTTCTTAAAGGGTGGGATAATGGATCAGAGAAAGCTCACAAAGCAAACAGAAATAATAAAAGTGATCATTGTAAAGCAAGCATAATGGAGCAACTTTTCATGACAACTTAGCAGTTCTGGAAGAACAAGCAACAATTAATTAACTATGGAGCACAAAGTTGAAGACTTGCAAGTCAAATAAGATAGCATTTCTTATCCCTTTTATTATAAGGTGGAGCACAAGGCATTTGGAAGCATGCAGGTGTTGTAATGTCATCCTGCTGAGCAAGCATTAGGAAATAAGAATCTGTGAGAAGATGCCGTAAACTGGTTGACATCCATTACAAAAGCTTCTCTTTCACCTCATCTTTCTTGCTTTGCCAAGTTGGACCTAATTTCTCATGTGTCATATATCATGCCAGCATCATCGAGTTCTTTTATGTATTACACAGCCACAATTGCATCCCTAAAACTTTTAATAGTCTCATTAAGTAATTAAATTGATTGTTTTGATATTATGTTAGGTACCTTAACTTTTGTCTTTACACTTTTGTGTTGATAAGCATGAATACATTAGTAAGCTAATAATATCACACAAAAAAAATAATAATTCATATACTTAATTATACTGTTAAATATTAGGTTTATGATATCAAAAATATCTAATATTAATTGATTCAAGCAAATTATATATCTATATATTTATATATATTATTGGGCTTTAGGTCGAGCAGTTGGCGCAGCAACGATGGGCTCCAAATCCGGACGGTGGACTTCGGGGATCTGTCCCCGAGCAGCCCGGGAGGCGAGCGACGGGAGGAGCTGTTCGGCGGGGCGCTTCCGGACCTGTTCGCGCTGCCGACGCCGAGCAAGTTGAGGAACGTGTCGGAGGCCATGTTCCACAGCAACATCGGCCAGATGCCGGCCATGGCCGTGATGCGCACAGATGAAACATAAAACTGGATCTAATTTTCTTACTAATTCGATCCAAATCATAACTATGTGAGTAAAACTGAAGCCACGAAATTGCAATAGGAGATCCAATCTGATGAACATACAACTTCCACTGAAATGAATGGAGGTTGAAGATTCGGCCACAAGCCCTGAATTCTCAGCTGCAAATGCAGAAATGGTGGATCGAAGACACCAGCAAATAGACTCAAAGGAAGGAATAGAGGTATTAATCCCAAACTCTTTTTTTATGATTATTATTATTATTAGTCTTTTACATGAAAACAAAAAATAAGAGTGGATGTGACAAAGGCATTAATAAGCTCGCATGTCATCTAAAACAAATGGAAATTGCAAGGCCATTAGATTATTATTGAGGTGCTACTTGCATGCATGTGACCTCAAGTACGTACCTCGTAGCCTCAGCCAAGGGTAACTCAGAAGACCATGATGATTTCCTAAAAGAAATGAGCAGGGCAGGTCCCAGGGTTAGCTGTATCTCCACCTCCTCCATCACCTTTCTGCATGCAAAAATGACAACCAGGTCTGATCACCATCGTAGACGACAAGCATTCACGTTCCAAAACAATTCTTTTTTACCTTGTACTATTATGTTCCGGGCAGCAGTACCCACGTCGAAAGCAATGCTCTTGCATAGGTTCTTTCTATAGGCATTTTTTGGGAACACAATATATGTACACCAATCTTTGGATTCCAACTATGGTTCACTTCCAAATCTGCAGTACTCGCATTTAATTAGCTTCCTGTATCGCCTGGACGAAGCCAAACGAGACCATATGGAGACTGCTGCCTGAGGTCTCAAAAGCTGAGCTGCAGTGGAGCATGTTTTTAGCTAGAACAAAATGACAGTGGAAGGCTCACAGTAAGTACTCGAGGGAACATCGTCACGAATGGTGTTCTGAAACACCCCACGAGATTTCTGTTCCATTGCTGTCTGCGAGCGCTGTATCTTCCTTTGGCAAGATGCATGCAAGTTTTCGCACAGCAAAATCCCAATCTGAACTCATGACGACAACGAGAATAATTAGAGCTAATAATGAAGCTATTCGAACCATGTACAGGAGGATCATGATCAAACCATTATGTTTCATCTACAGACAAAGATGATCGAGGAACTTCCGCTCACTGATCGGGAGATGAGACATGTATGCCATCAAACATCCGAACGAGGATGAACTCGAAACATACAATTCGTGCCACTTTTTCTTGGTAAATGTAAATATTGACCCGACATTGTAGAGCCCAATCAAAAGTAAGATATTGACCACAGTTCATTGCAAACTCAGCATGAAGCAAAACAAGGGGTGGGTCAATTCTAAGATCAAACCTAACATTCAAATTGTTTGTTTAGTTTTTGTCAAGAAATCTTTGTTGGGAGGGACACAATTCTCAGAAGTCTCTATCAACATAACCTAAGATGAACTTCTAAAAGAAAAATGAAGAATATTAATATGGCAAAAGTGATTTATTAGATTATCTTAATGCCAAAAACTGAGGCATTCCTGAGTCAATCAACAGACCTCAGTCATCTGATTATGCCTTATTCCTTTCTAACTCTTCCCCTCCCTTTAGGTCTGCAATTTGTATTATTCTATATTTCTAATGGCCACCCTAAAGCTACTGCTACTACTACAAATATAAAACCAAGTTGCATGTTAAGCTGATCCAAGAGAATCCGTGGTTTTGTGTTGATTAGTATGTGTGGACCTCCGCGGATAGACATTGCATGATTGCATGCGATTAAATGAAGAAACTACATGAAATCTCCACTGTGTAAGATGGTACTGTTCTTCTTGTGGTTCCATGAAGCTGACAATGATATTTACTGGTGTAAGAAGGTAAAACTCGGAAGAATTTCTAGATATGCGCAGGGAACAAAGGAAACGACAGACGGTGCTACGTCAGAGTCGGCTGTAGGCTTTGGGTATGCAATGGGTGGAAGATTCCACCTTTTTCTTCCTGCCCTCATCCATTTAGACAGAACCTCCTCCTCTCTAATTTGCTGCTCCGTCTCTTCTTCCTTTTCTGTACTTTTGATCTTAGTAACCATAATCTCTCCTTTTATACCTTTAGTTTTGATCTTAGAAATCGAGTTTTTAGGTTGGTAGAATCGTCGGATCACCTCAAGTTCCTGGTCTGTTGTTGTCTTCCAGTTCAAAGTTTGATGTGTTCATGGAGGTGTTGCTGTAGTTCAGCGTATCTGTTGAGAAAATCTATGATTATTATCTTGATAAGTAGCTTTTCTTGCAAAGATCTGTAGGGAACTGATAGAATAGGCAATCCTTGGAATTCTCTTGTTCTTCATATTTAGATAAGGGTGTTTTCTGAGGTGTAGGTCAAACTGTTCGATGATGAATGATGTCCTACTTTTTTCTGAGCTATTTATTAGATGAGAGGAGGACAGATCTGCTTGTCTGAGTAACTGAGCTCTTCCTCCCCACCCCCCCTCTTTCTGCCAACTGCTTAATTGAATCTGTACTTCGACCCTTTTGGCCTTTCTTTCTAGTTCTTCCCTCTCAAACTTGGACTAAACCGAA